TCATTCTCTCCTTGTCTTCTCCCAGAAACAGCCCCAGTAATTTCTCTTTGTCTCTTCCCAGAAACAGCCTCACTGATTCAGCACATTCTTTTTGCAGATCCAAGACAAAAAGTCTTTCCAAGTCACTCTGCTTGTCTGTTATTTGTATGCCCCCTTTGATCATGGTGGCATCATTTAGTTTCATTTGTAAATCCATTTTGACATCCTTTTGCATATCACATTGCATATCACTTTGGCATTTTTAAATCCAGTTTGGGATCCACAGCATCTTGTTCATACCATCTTCGTAATCCAGCATTTTTTTGAACTCCAAATCCACATTCAGGTCAATCTCTACCTCCATTTCAAAATTAACCATCTTATCCAATCTTCTATCTTTTTTTCAAGGGACTTGAATTTAGCTCCTAATGCATCAAACATTGATTGGAGTAAACTTAAAGAAGTTATTTCATCTTCTAACGGCTGCTCCAAAGGGCCTCTTCTAGCCATTTTCCCCCCATGAAGCAAGAACCGCAGATATTGTATAAGTGAAAGTAAGCAGACATTTCATGCCCTCTGGTGCCATTCACACTGTAATTGCAGGCACTCGTCAGCAAAAAATACAGAGAGGGCTCAAATTACTATCTTCTTTTGTTGTGAAAATACAGCCAATCAACAAGCATATCACAGAAAAACAAAAAAAATTCCCATAGAAAAATCAAATCCAATTAATGCAGATGGAGTTTTGTAAAACTTGTTAAAACTTTTAACAAATAAATCTTCCCCTTTCACTATAAGTAACTTTTATATCTTTTTTGTAGTCTCCTTATCTTCCAGCTTTTTGCAAATTGTTCAAAGTACAATAAAACTTTAATACTTCTTTTAAAGTTATAGTCCCAGAAATAATGAAAAAACACCAAGAATTACTTATCTGTTGCAAAGGAAGATCTCTTTTACGTTGAAAAATAGTTATATTCCAAAGTGATGTGGGAAGTCCAGCTTGGCTCCATCTCTGGACAAATAGCTGCAGGAAGCTCTGCTCTTTTTTTGCATTTTGCTGGAAAGAACACACAAAACCAGCTGCCAGTTGCTCTAGCACAAAAGAAGATATGCCATGGCTCTATCCATCAGCTAGGAGGTTAAGAACTGTGAATGAAGTTGTACTGAAGGATAGGGTCAGGATGATCCACTGGCTCCAATATAGCAAGATTGTGGAACGCCCAGCATGAGTACCTGGATTTATTTGCCTTCCTTTTCCTTTCCCCTTTGTGTATGTTGTGTTTTATTAAACTGGAAGTTTGATTGTTGAAACCATTATCATAATTTGTATAGTGCTTAGTAATTTTTAGACAGTATATTAGTGATAACAGTTATTTTGGTATTTCTCATTCTGATATATGCATGGGGGAATAGAATTATAACATGGTTATGTTTATCTTGTGTTTATCTTCAAGCTGGAAACCTATGGTTAACAAATTCGAAATAAGACAGGGTATAAGTTGACTTCAAATCTTTGATTTTGGAGCTATAGCCATAGTTTTTAAGCTTCTGAAAGATTTCATTATCTAGATGCAGTTGTCTTTAATGTATGATAAGCAACTTTGGTTTCTTTATGGATTTGTTGTTCTAATTTTTATTTTTTTTTTCTATTCTCAGTGGATGAATACATTGCTATTGCAAAAGAAAAACATGGGTACAACATGGAACAGGTAACAAACAATTGGAAGATTTTTAAATGTGATCTCTCCCCTTCCCCAGCCGTGGCGGGGTTGGGCTTTTTTGACATCTTGTTCATCTGGTTTATTATTTTGAGTAAATGCAGGAGATGATGTAAAAGAGGAGCAGAAGTAACTGTAGTCTTCAGATTGTCATAAAGACTTTCAGTATGTTGCTTTTGGCTTTAGGTGATTTTTATTAATTATTTTATTGTATTTTTAGTGTGTCTGATATTTGCATATGTAAAATTTTATGCAGTCATTTTTATTCTGCCTATTCAAAATGTCAAGCTGGACTCTCACACAAAAATCTTGATTAAAATACGTATGCAGAAGCTAAACGAGCTCTTCCAGGAAGCTCAATAAAAGAGACAGCCAAAGGCAGGGCCCAGTTCGGCAGGGGAAGCCAAATGACGATTTTATGTCTAAACACAGACTCCTTACACTTATTTCTGAATAATGAAAAAGAATATGCGCTACCCAGATAAATGCAGAGAATTATTCCAAATAGAATGCTTGTTTTATGTTTTTTTAAAAAATTAAAACAGAATTTTTCATGGCTGTCTGGTCAGATGTAACATGTAAACAGAGCACCTGAGCAAGGGCTGGACTAATTTCTGAGCTTTGGGGATACTTTCTATAGAAAATTTCCAGAGAAGATTTCCTGAACATACTTAGCCAGCTATTTGTATGTGAGGGAGAATGAATAAGCTTCTGTCTCTTAAGCAGATTGTGTCCTAGGTTTTAAGAACAGCCTTCATATGTTTTGAAACCGAACGTTTTTTAGATGAACGGAAAACCTAATGTGTGCTTCTCTGCCCCAGGACCATTGTGGTGCTGGAAGGTGAAAGAAGAGCCAGCAGGCAATCAGACACAAGTGCTGCCTAGCTGCAGATATCTAGACCATCAATTCTGTGTTGCTCTAATGTCACACTCTCTGTTTAAGTTATAGATAGTCCAACTCACCCATGACCTTACCTAGAGTGATGTACAGCTGTTGTCAAGCTCCTGCCCCTATCTAATTTTCTTTTAATTAAAAAAAATGAATTGCGTGCAGCAAAGTGCCAGCTTCAAGTTATATTTGCAGTAATGCATCCACATAGACCTCAGAAGAATTTTTATTGGCTTCAGAGACTGCAAAGACCCCACTGTATTGCATTGTTTGGTTTGCCTTCTGTATGGATGTTTTAGAATTGGCCAACTCACCATAGCAACCACTTTGTGAGAGTGCCCACCATATATTCTCAACAGTCCAAATGAACCACTAGCCCAGAAAGGTTGGAAGTTTTGCTTTAGGCAGTACACTAATACTAATCTCTTTCTTTAGCTCTTCTGTTGTTCTTGCCAGCTGTTTTGTTTTCCTCACTCTTGCAGCAGTGACACAAATCTAACCAGGAGATATCATGAACTATTCAGACCTTCTTTCTCATGTAGGAGTTCTGAAGTGGGGGTCAGCAAAGTATGGGGGGGGGAGTAAAATAACAGAATAGATGGTAAGGGAGGGTGAGAGATAATGAAAGGGTCAGCAGATCAATAGATGGACAAATGTGATACGTGTTAGTGTTTATTTGTGGAGTGGGGGAACAGAACTGATGAGCATTTTCTCACATATTGACCTTAATCTCTATCAATATGTGGTTCCCAAGCACTTTTCACTAAAACAATGTAGCTTTTGGTCACAAAATGTTTGCTTGCCCCTATATCCCTCCAGATGTTGCTGAAATAAAAGCAACAACTTCAGTCAGTATGGCCAGTGGTAAGGGATACTGGGAGCTGTGGCTGAACAAAAGCTGTCAGCTGCATGTTTTCCCATTCTAATATAATAACATATTATAACTCAGCTAACACAGTTGAAAGAAGTTAGCCTTAGATGAATTTGAATTCCTTTGTTTCTCTACTTCTAAATCTGTCTAAAGAAAATCCTGTTGGGAAGCCCATCCTATTTGAAACAGTTGAAAGTGATCCAAGTAAAGGATCTGTAATTCCATGCTCTGTGAGGCATGCCTTTACTGGAGATTTGAAAAGGGTAGGATCCCTCCCTGCGATTACTTATTTTATGTAAAAGTTCTTGTAATAAGTCATGCTAAGAAAATGCCAAGATGGAAGACTCCCTAGATGTTCCACAATTACAACATAATGATGTGGATACAGCCACAGAATTTTTTAAAAGAACAGTAATTTCTATCCAAATTATGTGTGTTTGAGCTATGTGTCTTTTTTTTTTTTTTTTTTTTTTTTTTTTGCATAACAAAATGGGTTTGGAGGACAGGGAAACTCCAGTGGCAGAGTTACCAGTTTCACTTTGAATTATCTGAGTCAGAGGTTTAGTCCAGGGTATGTGGAATCTCTGTATGACTGCAGAAAATCAGTATTGCTCAGCTAAATATTTTAACTATTGATCGAGTTATAAGAATTTTACTTGAGGAAGCTTGACTGCCTGCTTAATTTTATTTAAATAAGTGGGCCTTTTTCATATAGATTCATTGAGTTACGGAACTAAATACATTTGCAGAAATGGTGATATATACTAGTGCTATCTTTGGGGCTGCCCTGTACAGAAACTAACAGACTTTTGGAACCAAGTTAAAATTTAGAATGGAGTGGGGTTTCCAGACATCCCTTGTTCACACTTCTCAAAAATAGCCTGATGAAACTGAATAGTATTTCTCTTAATTCACTACAGAAAATACCTCCATGAATATAGAGGAGTATTTTTTGGTTGGTTCCTGGAATTAAAGTTGTGAGAATTTTTGAGGATTCATTTCCTTTGTGCAAAGGTGGTTCTTCATTCTAACAGAATGTCCAGTTTTCTTAAACTAAAATTGTAGGGGGCTATTTCATATACTACATTACACTATTTACTTGCAGATTAACAGCTCAGTGATGAGGTCTACTTATATAAACACCATAGGCTTGTATTGCAAGTCACAATGATGTCAAAAGATGCAGTAATTTGCATCAGTGGCCTCATGATATCACCCACCCACCCCTGATGCCCATGGATATTCACCATACAGTAGTGGAGAAGAAAGATAATGCTTACTCAGCATTCAGTCTTACAGAGCCTTTTGTGTTCTATGCAGCATTTCTAGATTGAAGTGTTCTGTATTATTCATCACTTGAAAAGGAAGCATTGTAATATAACGGTGCTTAAAAACAGTTCTATGTGTACAAGTCCACAAGTGGATATTAACAGTGAATCTCTGTTGTTTCCTTCTGTCCCTATGGCTGTCTGTGTAGTAAAAATGCAGTGTGGCTGTTGTTGCAGAGAACAATTGGAAAGTATCTAAAGCAGATCAGACTACTAAAACCTGTGCTGTGATTGGCTATTTTTAATATAAGCATGCCAGAATTATTACTGTTTTCCTTTGATTATGGCCTTTTTTCCCCCATGCTATCTTCCCTATTGCAGGCCCTTGGGATGCTTTTTTGGCACAAACATAACATTGAGAAATCTCTGGCAGATTTACCTAACTTCACCCCCTTCCCAGATGAATGGACAGTTGAAGACAAAGTCTTGTTTGAACAGGCTTTCAGTTTCCACGGGAAAACTTTTCATCGAATTCAGCAAATGGTAAGCTACCACCGAGATTGCAAATGCAAAGGCCTTGGTTTAAAAACAAGTGAGGGAGGTAAAACATTTTTTAATTATCAGTTTTTATTTTTCAAAGATATATATTTCCATTTATCCTTGTTTATTACTTAGAAAGTTCAGAATGCAAGCACCCAATATTGATGATAGCTAGGAAAAGGAATGGATTGAGTGAATTTGGGAGATGAAAATGTGGTATATTAGAAATTTCTCATTGTACACAATAAATAGTATCTGCATAGAGGCAATATAAAGAACCAGTTCATTGTCAAGTTTTTTTAGTTCTGTAACAGAGGAGGAATAATATTGTATTCACTATCTGTTGGGGTATAGAGGAAGGGAATTAATCTTTCCACTGCTGTAAGAACAACAGTACATCCAATAGTGGTCTGGCAAAAGGTTCCACACTTTCAAAATAGAGTCCCTCCATATTTGTATATCTGAAAACCTTAGCAACAGGCCAGATTTAAGCAAGTTTTGAGGTAAAACCCAAAGAGAAAGTTTGCTTTATCATCTAAGTGACAGAAGCACTGAAAGCATTCTCTTTCCTCTAGATCTGTTTACTTGATTTTCCTTGAAGATATTTTAAAGAGAAAATGTTTTATATTTATAACCACTGGAGTTTAAGGGGCACACTTACAACTGCAAGCTGTTAATTGGAGGAAATAACAACTGTAACCCTTTTCCTCTTTTTTTGGCCAAGACTTCCAGTTCAGTCCCCTGCATTTAAGGACTTTTTCCAGTTCTTCAAACAAACCAACTTATTTGTGTTTGGTTACTGAATGTTTTAAAGAATAGAAGTGTGCTTCTGTTATCCATAAAATTGATAGTCTCATTCAAGAGGAAGCTAGACAATCATCTTTTGGGGATAATTTGATTTGAATATCTGTGTATGGTTAGGTTCCATAGTTTAAATGACCCCTTCCAACCCTATGATTCTGTGATGTGTGACTGCTGCTGATTTGCCTTCAGATAGCATACAGCTAGTACTTTAAGAGGCATGAAATATTCTTATGGCATAAACTATTCTTGTTATAAGGGTTAGGGCTAGCTCTTACGATGTAGCCTTTTTATGGAAAAAAATCTGATGTTTATTGGAAGAAAAGGGATGTCTTACCACACTCAATTTTAACACATTCCAAATAAAAAATGATTTCTTGGTCACTAGGAAGAAAACAATTCTGTACTGGATTATTCTTCCAGTATTTTTCTTTCCCAGCAGAAGTTTCTGGACAAGCAAGCAGTAATTAAATTCAGTCAGTCCTCCAAGTCATGGTCTAGAAGATAAATGAAGTGGAAGCAGAAGTCCTTCTCTTTGACACATGTCTTTACTTGCTTTTTGCTGTTTAACAGTTACCATTCTTTGTCATAATGTCTACATTTGCCATCCACAGTTAGCACTCTGTGTATTGGAGATGGGCTAGGAGCTAGAATTCCCAGGGCTGGAACGTGGAGAATGTTGAATAGGCAACTGCCACCTCTCACTGACCGTGGGAAGTTAAGGCAAGGTTCTGTGGGGAACATGAAAGGGAGGGGTACCAAAATTAATTTGAAGGGGGTATAAAGTGAGGTGGCAGCCTTGCCTATCAGAGGTAATCAACTGTTGTAGCAGAGTTTCAGCTGAATCATGTCTTCAGAAGCTTCATCCTTGTTCTTATATCCTATGGGAATCTGACGCGTTCCTCTTTGTTCAGCATCTACCACATATTTTGTTATAGAATTCAGGCAAAAAAGGGTCTAGAATAAAAAATAGGCAGAGTTGTTGAAAGCAGATTAATCCTCTGAAAGCAATAGGGTGTTCTGTTTGAAATCCAAGATACTAATTGCCAGCTACTGCTCATACTGGATCATGGCTGACAAGCATCACTATTGGACACATTATCACTATGTGTGGTTGTGTCAACAGTTGTTTTGTGTTCCTAGCTTCCTGACAAATCAATAGCAAGCTTGGTGAAGTTTTACTACTCCTGGAAAAAGACTAGAACCAAAACAAGTGTCATGGATCGTCATGCACGGAAGCAAAAAAGAGAAAGGGAGGAAAGGTAAGTAGAGGCAATTGTGAATATGCACTTCAGCTTAACTTTTTATGAAATATTGAAGGCTTTTATGCTCTGTATGCACAGAACTCTTGTTATCAATCGGATCAAAGCCAAGTAGCTGATCTGATCTGATAGTTAGAATGGAACATTGTTTTTAAAGATCCATATACCTGTAATGTTATTTCCCATGAGTTTAATAATGTATACTTTCTTTTGCATTGAAGAATTAAAATATGGCAGCAACTTTTGATGAATCTCTGAGGACCACAAGCAAGGCTTTCAGGAGCCACTTGACGTGATGGAGCCATAACTTGTGTGCCCCTGCAATATTTAAATAAAACAGATTTTAAATTTCAGTACTGTGTGAAGCAAGTTTAAGGGAGAAACATTAATCATGGTTGTAGCATGCAGATCTATTTATTTTCAGCTTGTATACAACTTTGGGTAGCTAAGAGGGGTTAAAAACATTAAAATATAACAAAAATCTGTAAAACATATCATGATGGAGGAAACTCCCATCTTATATATTAAAATGAGCTCATGTATCATCCTTGCCTAGCGCATCTTCAAGACTAATGGCTTAAATATGGTTAAATTTGCTGGGGAGACACTGATGTAGTAGTCTACCAAAGTCTATACCAAATTGATACCTTCTAGATCACATGAGGATAGTAGGTTGGGGAAGTCTGGATTATGTTGCAATAGTTTTGTTGTGCTTCTCCCCCCCCCCCCCGACTACT